AGTGATCCCTGAGTATTCAAGCTAGCTTTTCCACAGCACGTTCACCAAGGTGATGTCTGAGTAGCCCAAAGTGGCTCTTTCACAGCACGCTCGCCAAACTGATCCCTGTTCACCAAAGTAATCCCTGAGTAATTCAACGTAGCACTTCCACAGCACATTCACCAACATGACCTCTGAGTATTCACACCACATTCACCAAACTGATCCCTGAGTAGCTAAACCTAGCTGCCTAGCTCTTCCACAGCACATTCACAAACTGATTTCTAAGTAGTTCAACTTAGCTTGTCCACAGCAACCACAGTTTTTAGTAGCGCAACTTAGCTTCTCCATTGCACATTTACCAAAGAGATCGCAGGATAGTTGTAGACTTGTAAATGTACTTATCAAAGCAGTTTTTTCCCCACCCGTAGGACTGTGGGGCTGTTAGATTTTAAGAACTTTGGACTTCAGTAGACTCGCTACTTCTGCGCATCCACCAGAGTGGTCCCAGCGTAGCTCAGAGCAACCCAAAGAACACAGCACATCCACCAGAGGGGCCCACAGTGGCCCAGAGTAGCCCTTACACAGCACATCCACCAGAGTGGCCCCGAGTAGCCCAGCGTAGCCTTTACGCCAGCACATTCACCAGAGTGCTCCCAAGTACCAGTTCCACAGCATATCCACCACAAGTTGACTTGGCAGGGATGCGGGGTTGCCAGGCATTAAAATATCGAAGTTCAGAAACCTCACAAGTAAGTATTCGATGTATGGTTTTGTTTTCAATAAAGAATCCTTTTCGCGCCGAACCGCTTTTCTCTTTTGAAGACCAATTCTTTGAGGGTGGGGAATTTCGAAGTAAAGTAATATTTTCGTCATACTTACATTCTACTTAATAAGTATGCAAAAATTTTAACATAACTAGCGAAACTATATAAATAAGTACGATAAGTTCCAAGCGGTTTTTTGTATAACTTACGGCACTTATCATGGTTGTTACTAAGATATAAGTCTAGTTGTCCCATTCATAACTAAGTTATAAGTAAAAAAACATCTGGTACAAGGTAGGAAGCGGTGGAAGGAGATTCTTCCGATCATCGCCGAGGCCAAGATCGAATTACACTCCTGAAGAATGGAGAGCTCTGACCATACCTGATAGGGTCGTTGCCGAAAGAAAAGAAACGCCCGAGAAAGAAATTGAGCGAAAGAAGAAAGAAGACAAGGACAAGAAGAAGGAAGATGATGGAGCAGGATCAAGTAAGGATAAGAAGAAGAAGAGAAGAAGAAGAAAGAGGATGACGATGATGATCCCTCCCCAAGCATCTACCTCCCCGAAGAATGCTACATTGACGAAGACGATGAAATAGGGGGAAGGAGTCCCTCAGGCGTGTCTACAATGTCAACGGAGCTACCAAGTGGGAGGAATGGATTGCCGTTGAGAATGGTCACGGACGACGTGCTACTTGGGACCCACTGAACATCTGTGACAGTAACACAGGTCAGGTGATGGATAGCCTGACAGTTGCTTATGCTATGCCGACTGGATTCTCATCCGAAGATTTCACCAAGAACCTGAAAGAGCGTCACATCCCATTCCCATCGATGCCTTGTATCAATTCTGTTTCCAATCATCGAGAGAAGATTCAATTCGAAGGTCGACCAGGCGCTTCGAACAATATAGAAGATTATTCAATGCAGCTGTGTCACGACCAGTAAGTCGAGCAGAGATGCTCAACAACCCAAAGGCCCGAGCATCGATGAGAAGCGAATGGTTAGGACTTCACAAACAAGCTGTCTTCGACTTCTCTGTGATACGCGAATACTATGATGTGAAGCAAGATCGAGGCGCTCACACTCAAACAAGTAGTACACTTTGCAAGAGTTCATGGTATCATCGTGGAAAAGAACTACCAACTACCTGAGAACGATGATAGACGGAAATTCAAGGGTAGGGGGGTACTCCTGGGAAACAAGGTCAAGAATCAGAATTGGGAAGCAGCATTCTTCCAAGATCTAGGAAACTCTCCAGCCTCCTTTGAGTCTTCAAGATGGGCAGACTTCTATGGATGTATTCCAGGTCATTCGGTCAAGCTTGCTGATGCTATTCAAGCCTACTTACCTCGCGGGACTGCCCTGTTGGGTCGAGTTACCGTCAGATGTGTGGCCAGACGGTGTTGATGTTTCAATATATCATCGACCTGTGGCACGACTTCGCAAAGCTTTGTACGGACATCCAGACGCAGGCACAATGTGGGAGAAACACTGCGATTGGATTCAAACCGATTGGTGAAGAGTGGCCATCAATGTACTACCATGAGGCCATGAAACTCCTTTTTGTAGTGTACGGGGATGATCTCAAACTTGCCGGACCGACTGAGAACATGTCGAAGGGGTAGTCTATGCTTCGAACGAAACTTAGGATAGAGCCAGAGACGGATCTAGGATTATACCTCGGATGCATGCTTACAAGAGGTGAATCCAAGCTCCACGATGGAACGATGGTCAACACAGTCTCCTACAACATGGAAGGACTACTGAAGTTGTCTGTTGAAAAATATCTCGACATCGTTGGTCATGAAACAAAAATGAAGAAAGTCAATACTCCAAGCCTCCCTGAAGAGACTAAGGAGCATCCCGCACGAGTCCCGGCTCCAGGTAGGGAATGTACTACATGTCCTTGGTGCGCCAACGCATTTGACCCCAAGTTCAGTAGCAAGACCTCATCCAAAGCAAATGAAGACGTCAACGTTACGGGTGAGAGTCGTGGTGCACTACCATGTGTGCGCTCCAAGTGCCAAGTGAAATCACATCGTGATCTTGCTTCTGCTAAATCTCCAGATGACCTCTACCAAGTTCTAGGTAATCAGGTCGCGGATGAAACGGCGAAGTTGATTAACAAACAAGAACTTCCTGTACTTAAAGAAGTTGCCGGCAACATTTCTCAGCGCTCAAAACTTCATTGGAAGCCATTCATCTGGTTTGTATCAGTTCTTGATTGATCTTAACAGTCTCCATTCTACCCTAAAATTGAAAAGGAGTCCGCGACATCTCAGGTTGAAAAGAAACGTTTGACTTCTACGCTACATTTCGGGATCGCTTTGCAATTGGCAAATTGCAGACCCGTTATGCTCATTACAAGGGGAGCTCCATCCTGCGGTTGAACACGCTTCCTATTGGGGGCGAAAGGCTACTCGCCAGGTGTGGAAACTTTTCTGCAGGCTTCAGTGGCCGGACCCCGAAGCTCCAAAATGCGCCCATGCATGAATGTGGCGTTACGTGGTATGAACTCGTCATCTTGCGCACGATCAACTATGGAGAATTTTTTCCGGAGGGGATATCACAAAGTGATAAGAAGTATCCCATTCCCTTCGCTTTTGAGGGCCAGAAGTACGTACCCTCCCATCGGCTCGACGAAGCTTGAAGCTCGAGGCTACCAACTTACGCAATATCGTTCGCTTCATAGAACATACTATGTCTTGCCACATCTTTCGACGATATGCCAAGACTGGAGCAACATCTCTCATACACCAGAGGTATCATAAAACTCTGGCGGGAGGTATTGCATGACGTCCGGAATTTGTCGACCAAAGCAAGCTGGTCGATCTCATCCAGCCATATATACACACCAAGAGACGCAAAGCCTACCTGCAGACGAGCGTTTGCCATTTCCGGCTTCATCAGGGTTTGTCGCATCAGAACATACGTTCGAAAAGCGCCAAATCTTCCAAAGAGAGAAGCTTGTCCGTTCTAAGCAATCCTTGAACAATTTCGACGTACATGCCTTCAAAGCTAGTGCGCTTTTTTAGTTGATGTAATTCAGAAATGATTTCCTTGTGTGTGACTTAACACAGATCATACAGTCACTAGCTATGTACAGTGGAGCTGAGTGTGACGCGTTCGTTGTACAGAATCTAGACGCCTGGTTCTTATTCACGCACCTCCGGCGCACCCTAAGGGAAGGACTGTGAGGCGCGCGGCAGACAGTTCGCAAGTTCGTGTGTGCGTGCGCCAAAAGACTATAATTTTTCCACTATGTGTTCCACGGTTTTGGAGAATAACCGTTTCTGACAGGGACGTCGCACACTTTCCAAGTTATAGGGCGTATTTGAAAAACTATAACTTGTTCTCATTAGGCGCCCCACGGTTTTGGAGTTATAGCGCTTTTCAAAAAGCAACTGCTCGTGGAGTTTGGGACGAAAACGTTCTAACTGCTGGTGTCGTTTTTCGCAAGGCTGGTGACGCACAGTCGTCGTATCCTCTTGGAACAGGCTCTGTAATTTTAAGCAACCCTATCAACAAACTCATGTTTTTCTGTATATTTACCCCGGGTATGAAGCGTGACTTGTGAAATTCAACGCAGTAGATGGTGTGGTTGAAGTCAAGGAGGGACTGGGGAGTGGGGGGTGGGGCCAGGATCACCGGGTCTATTTCCTGTTCATAGGGGTGGAGTTTTGGTGCGCCGTGTTTGGTTTGACGCCCGTGACTAGCTGTCAGTGCTCGTGAAATTGCAGAAGCAAAATGTAGTTTGGTGCTGTCAGAAAAGCCGTTCTTGCTACCCAACTCACGCGGGCGCGGCGACTTGACCCCGCACAAACGCACTGGAAACCAACAGCACTGTTCCGGCTGTCTTTTTTCTCCTGCAAGAGAACAATGCAATTCTAACGGTGGTTATGACCGACATGCTCTTTGATAAACAGTGCAACGCAGGCCGTGGATCTAGTTTAGAGTGGAGCCTTATATTTTGTAAAAGACCAGTGCAGCTGTTTTTAAATTTTGCACACACAGTAATTTAGGAGAAAGAAGGCTTTGGCTTGAGGGGATTGTGGGGCGGAGGATCAATTACTATTCCGATTGCTTGGCATTCAACATTATGTTCCCTCTATCTTGCGAAAGCACTGCCCGGACAAGAGTGGCGGTCAAGAAGGATAGGCCGGCTTGAATTCCTTTCTTTTTTTTGACCGTTGGATTAGATGGCCTCACATACTGTATAGGCCCTTCAACCTTTGCGCGTTGCCTTAGCTCAGGCAAAGTCCAGCCCAAGCAGACGCAGAAGGCCTTTTGCGTGACTTGCGCTTCAAACTTGCACTGACAAACAGCAGCTGCGAGGCAAGAAACAGAGCAAGACAGGCGGTTGCCTCAACTTTGGAGGGTATGTTGGTAGGTGTGTGTGTATATATATATAGGCGGGCGCTGATTAAGAGGCCCCCTGGCGGAGTGTTCTGAGATCCAATGAACTGAAAGTGCTTGCTGCTTGTGCCTACACGAGTGCCACGCGTGTGTCCCTCACATGTTAGAACTTGTTTCAACTTCGTCGTTTGTTTTGCGATTGCGCCCCGAATCTCACGTTCACTTTTGTGCTCAAGCTTCCCAACTCGTCGATGGACCGCGTCACTGTCCCAACCACTGTGGGCAGCGCATTAGGGGGCTGGTGGTGGTGGTTGTGGTGGTGGCAGCTTAAGGTCTTGAGCAGGCGAGCCCTTGAGGTAGCGCTGGGTGAGGGAGTGCTGGAGGCCTTGGACCGCGTTACAACGCCTTTACAACGTTGGTTGTTCTGGGCTTCTGCAGCGCGGTTGGCTGCAATTGCTCCGCAATCATTGAGGCTGGTGTAGGTATTCTATTCCGCACTAAGGTTCTAGATAGCGGGAATGGCTCGCCTAACCTGCCCTGGAGTAGCAGACCTTGCAGTGAATTTGACACCGCCTGGCAATCCGAATCATCAATGAGCGCCTCAAAGACAGGTTCTCACTCAGGTGGGTGCCTATAGAGCTGGCGCGAACAAATCAGGCAGGGGCGCCTGGCCCTTTGCAAAGTCATACAACGCATGTATGGCGCCCAACAGCATTGGCCTTATCGGACCACTTTAGTGCGCCCAGCAACCGTCTGACAGACACCTTGCGGGCGCAATTATACCTATGCCTATGGAGCTTGAAAATGCCCCGAAGCGAGCGCAGGTTTTTCTGCTCAAATCCTATAGGTCCTAGCGCTCACAACTCGAGAAATATCCGAAGCACTGGCGAGCCTCCGTGACTGAACCTCAGTGAAGAGGATGAAGAGGGACAAGACATGTTTGCCGAATGGTTGGCGAATGGTTTCGAGTTCAGAGCTGGGCGGGCAGTGTAATAAGTATGGCTGGGCCCTGCCAGCCCTGCGTCGCATCTTTCCTCGGATTCCTCGGATTCGTTCGAAGCTGGCTTGGAAAGTATTTGGCGACCGCAGCTCCCAGTTTAAGCTCTATAGCTCCCCGTTCAGTCTAAGGGAACCTCATTGCATTGACCGATCCCGAGACAGTGTTCATTCCAAGGGAAGCTCATTGCATTGACCGATCTCTCGACTGACAGTGTTCATATTCTAAGGGAACACTCAGTGGCGCCACAGTCACACCCTGGTCCACATGCAAGACCAGTTACATTTCCCAGGCCCAGACGCAAGGAAAATTTCCTCTATGCAGGTTTGCGGGTTCGGGAGTTGAACCTGAAGCCTTCGCGCAAAAAATGTATTTTGCAACCAGACTCTGTCGCGCTTTGCCTGGGTTCCGCGAAACATGGGGCAGAATCGGTCAGCTCCTTTAGGCCCTAGGCTCTACACGCAGGGTTTTCTACAGGGCCAACCCAATGGGGATGAGTTCCTGTTCGCAGTGTCATATGCTAGTGGGTGGGTGAAGGAATGATGGTACTGTCTCTTGGGTGGGGCTGAGGTGCAGGTCACAAAGCGTTTGAACTGGCTCGGGTTGGCATGACCTTGGCGGATATTCTTTTGTTTGTTTTGCTTTTGGATTGTCGGCGTTGGTCTTGAGATCATGGTTTACGCAGGGCGCAGACAATGATTGCGCGTAGAGTACAGACATGTACAGACGAGGTCATTGTCAGGGGGCCCCTAATCAGCGAGCCTAAAGAAATACGCATGCATCCAGACCGAGCGCGGCCAAGCTTGGCAATATTCAAAGTGAAGAGCAGCTTACTTCTGCCACCAAATCTCAAGGCCTGAAGAAAGGCCAAGTCCGACTGCGCCTTCAGGGACCACAGTCGTGCATTCCTGTCAGATTTGTTTCCTGCCATGAAGGCATTCCGAAAAAAGACACGCGTGAGCCATGATTTGTATACTCTGCCCCGTGTTGTGCACATGTGTCGTCGAAGACAGCCTAGAAGAACAGGTAGGAGCAAGGAAGGTTCAAGAAAAGGGGAAGTAGTACCAGAACTGACCATCAAGGATTTCCTACCGGCAGAAGATGGCAGCCGTCGCAAGTTTTTTGAAATTTGTAGGGGCGCGATCGCAACTTTGGTGGCAGGAGACATGTGTTTGGCTGTTGCCATCCCTGCACCAGCGCCAATATATGTTGTGTAGCGCTTGGCGCGACGTGAACCAACAGAGCCCATGCACCGCAACGAACAAGGCGAACCCTCAAATGAACCCCCAAGAACCGATGTGGCCACACTGCTTGGGGGAAACCATAGTCAGGGTGAGTTTGCGGGAACATATACATGATAGCGGCGTTGAGACGATTGAGTTTTGGAATCTGTAAAAGCAAGTTTATGAACTTCTTCCTGTCAGATTTATATATCTATATATATATATATAGCATATCCGCATGTTGTGGCGGGGCTTTACGCACGCCAGAAGGAAACAATTTGGAAAAATCTGCGTGTACGCAAGAAGAACTGTTGGACCAAGGGTGTGGACTTCAATAGATATATTTTCTATTTCTTGAGCCTTTTCGTAAATTGTACTTTTTACCAAATGCGTAGCGAAGGGTTCTCGTTTAACTCTGGGGGTCTGGGGGTATAGAGCCTAAGCTTGTTCGCGACTCGTTGTCGTAGCGTTCGCGACAACCCTTCGCAACTCGAGCGCTATGGCGCTGACGTTGGGCGAAGCTTTTGGAGTGGGTTTTGGATGGAAGCCTGACGTGTCAGATTCGTGTGCAATAGCGAGGAAACATGTGGAAACGTGAGAGAATGAAGCCTGGAGGGCCTGCAGGATGAATTCACTGCGCAGGCGTCGCGTTTTGTGAGATTCGCAGCTATCTTCGCAATCACACTGGGATTGGCGTTTGTCGGGTTGTGTTTTTGGGTTGTTGGATGTGGCTGCAAGTCTCAGGTAAAATTTCCGTTTTGGTGGACGGGAGCGCTCAGAACGTGTCGTTAATCCAAAACGCGTGGCGGGGTGCAAATTTGGTGAATCTACGCAGATATGATATTGTCACTTTTCATGTCAGGCGCAGTGTTTTGTCTGGGTTTTTTGAGGTGTGGGAGTGCAATTGTCATGGCAGAAGCGGGGAATCACGAGGTGGCAAGGCGTGGCGGAGGTCACATGTCATGGCAGGCGCAGTATTTTGTGTGTGTGTTGGAGGATGTTGGAGGTGTGTGGGAGTGCAAATTTTCGTGGCAGGCGCAGGGAATGTCGCTGTGACACCGAGATTGGGGGGTCAGTGGATGTGGTTTGAAGGGACTGAAACCACGAAACTGCTTGTCAGGGCTGCTTGATGCGTTAGGCCCGGGTCTTCCCGCTTGACTTGTGGAGGAAGTTTCGCGCGAAACTCTTTGTTTTGGAGACTTGATTGACACGTGAGGAAGTCTCGCGCTGTGAGTTTTTGAGGAAGTCTCACGCGAAACGCTCGTTTTGGAGACTTGAAAGAAGTCTCGTGCAAAATGCTCGTTTTGCGGACTTGACGTGTGACTTTTTGGAGCAAGTCTCGTACAAAATGCCAGTTTCGGAGGTTACTCTTGGCCCACAAGAGTGCCTCCAAGCGTGTCCGACCGGAGTGTCCCACAAAAATGTCCGACGAGCGTGCGCTACAAGAGTGCCCGCAAGAGTGTCCGACGAGAGTGTTCCAAGAGTATACAAGAGTGTCCCGCAAGCGTGTTCCACAACAGTGTGCGACAAGAGTGTCCCACAAGAGTTTGCGACAAGTGTTTCCCACAAAGCTGTCCTACAAGAGCGTTCCGCAAGAGTGTCCCACGAGAGCGCCGTACAAGAGTGCCCCACGAGAGTGACGTACCGCAAAAGTCTCCGGCAAGAGTGTCCTACAAGAGTGACATTCAAGAGCGTCGCGCAAGAGTGTCCCACAAGAGTGTTTCTCAAGAGTGTCCCACAAGTGTTCCGCCAGAGTGAGTGTCCCCCGCAAGAGTGTTCCGCAAGAGCGTCCCGCAAGAGTGACATACAAGAGTCCCACAATAGTGTCCCTCAAGAGTGTCCCACAAGAATGACCGACAAGAGTGTCCCACAAGAGTGTTCCGCAAGAGTGTCATACAAGGTGTCTCACAAGAGTGCGCAAGAGTGTCCCGCAACATTTCCCGACAAGAACGCATCCTACAAGAGTGTCCCGACAGAGTTTCCGCAAGAGTCCTACAAGAGTGTCTCGCAAGAGTGTGGTAGAAGAGTGTACCACGAGCGTGTCGTACGTGAGTGTCCCACAAGAGTTCCCACGAGAGTGTCCGACAAGAGTGTCCCGCAAGAGTGGCCGACAAGGGTGTCCTACAAGAGTGTCCCACAAGAGTGTCCTACAAGGGTGTCCCACACGAGTGCCCTATATAGAAGTGTCCTACAAGAGTGTCCCGCAACAGTGTCCTGCAAGAATGTCCGACAAGAGCGTCCTAGAAGAGTGTCCCGCAAGAGTGCGCCGCAAGCCGGCAAGAGAGTCCTACAAAAGTGTCGCGCAGCAGTGTCGTCCCAGAGAAGTGGCAAATTGGGATGCAATGTGGGAAGCAGCTCCTGGGAGCCGTGGCCTCAGGACAGGCCACTTAGTAGAAATGTAGCGCGGAAAGCGACTTCTGGCCCCTCGCGGCTCAGAACTGGCAACTTTAGCTGTGACCTCACAACTGCCCACTTGGGAGTACAAATGTAGTGCAGAAAGCAGCTTCTGGGTTATTGGGAGCTGTGGCCTCAGAACTGGTAACTTGTAGTACGCATTCACATGTAATGCGGGAAGCAGCTTCTGGGGGTTGTGGCCTGAAAGCTGGCCACGTGGTAGTGCAAATGAAGCGGCTTCTGGCCTCAGAACTGGCCACTGGGTAGTGCACATGCAATGCGGCAAGCAGCTTCTGGCTGGCAGCTTTGTAGTACAAATGTCGTACGGGAAGCAGTTTCTGGGAGCTGTGGCCTCAGAACTGTCAACTTATGTGGCCAAATTACATCTGGGTAATACGTGAATGTCGTACGTGAGTGTCCCACAAGAGTGTCCCGCAAGAGTGTTGCACACGAGTCCACAAGAGTGTCCTACAAGTCCTACAAGAGTGTTTGCCGAGTGACGAAAGTGTCGCACAAGAGTGAGAGTGTCCCACAAGAGCGTTCTGCAAGAGAGTCAGAGGTGTTTGCATTCGGGTTCTTGGGTTCCATCTTGCTTCACACACAATGACCTACGCTGGAAAAACTTTCTTTGCAGGACCTTGCCACCTGGGTACGCATCAGCGGCCCGCCGGAACCGACGAGAAGGTCAGAAATTGCAAGACACGCCAAATAACCAAGTCTTGACTTTCACAAATGCAGCTGACGTGCAAAAATGATCAATGATACTCGACAGTGGAATCACCTGACTTGTTGACTTTGTGAATTGTGACCTTGTCAAACTCACAGGAAAGGAACCTCCCGATGTTGGGGCTGACAACTCAGACGTGCATTGGTGCATGTTTCTGCATCCTCAAGCCGTCATCATCCCACCTTCAGCTGCTACAACGCAGTCAGGCCGAGCCAGAGCAACCTCAAGACATTCCGGGACAGGCAGAAGAGACGTGACGCCTTGCTGTGCATCAGTCCATATGACCGCAAGTTTGCAGCAACTTATGTTGCAGGCAAGAGGAGACGGAGAAGTAGGGGGAACAAACAAAGGCAGTTCTCAGACACAAGGCAGGATGAAACTCCTATTTGCATTTTCTTGCAAATTGTCTTCCACGAGAGGCAAAAAAAGTGCAGCGCCGCCAAGCGAGGTCGCATTTTAAAGAATATGTAATGTCAAACTTTTGGACCAGTAAGAAAAACGCAAATATGTTTTTTGATACATTCAGAGCAGGACTCCAAGCCTGGCCCCGCTTCCAGCTCTAAAGGAGGCGCGTGCCATGGCTATTCGGCATGTGAATCTCATGTTTAAGCTTGCACATATTTTGCGCACGGAAAACCCATTCGTTTAAGTTTAACTAAAAGAGGAAGTACATTATTGTTTAGATCCGACCTGTGAATGATTTCACGTAAAGAAAACGATGTTTCATGACAGGGGGTGGCCCAGAACAGATTCAGCACACAACCCTTATTGATGCAGCGTTTGATTGCTTGCCAGCATGACAATTGATATGGTTTGTCAACTTGTGTTCGTTTCTGCTTTATCTTCCGTTGATCTACACTACCCTACCCTGTGCACGTCTCCTGTTTGTATTTCACCTCGCTCTACATTTGTTGGTCTAGCATTATTATCCGAGTGTCATTGCATTTTTGATACAATCTTTTTGGATAATTAAAGTAGAGTATTGGGCTCGTAGGCAAATCGGGTGGAAAGCTAAAAAACCTCCCTAATTTAATGTAACTAATATGCTTACAGTATATAAACCCTTTCCTAAGTATTTTACATGTATGCACCCATTTTTTTGCAAGCAAATGATGTACGTACCCTAAAGCTTTGCGAGCACATGTGTGTCCTGCATTTTCACTTTGATATAATATACTCTGCCCTTTTACCTTTCAAGAAGGCAAAGGAAGGCCCCAGAACGAAAGGATACAGCAAGTGAACATATGTGAACATGAAAGCGTGCAAAAGGCCTGAACATACAGGAGAGGGGTGGTAGAGGGAAGGACAAACGAGAAGTAAGGCGACAAGAGAGCCTTTGTGGTTGCAACGCTGCAGGATGTCCTGAACTTTCTTTGTTCATGTCCCCGTTTCTTCAAAAACAGGCCGTGCCACAAAAATGCTCAGGAGGAACGGATTACTCACGCTACGAGGATCAACAAGGGTAAAGAACAGGATTGCACACCCATCCCATGATATTGTTCAAATTTAACAGCTCTAGCCGCATAATTGTGTTCTGTTTATAAGTATGCTGTTCTACTTTGCGTTCCTCTACCTGGATAACTAGTCTTGTTTGTCTTACCCTACCCTAACCGTTGACACATTTATTTTACTTACTTTAAATTCAAGTTGCACTGTTACAATGGTTTCGAGTAGTGCTTAGAGCCAATATGTTTGCACAGCCGACCAGAACTACTATATAGTTTGTCAACCGTAGACCAGGACTACTACAGTACGTTCATGTACGGTTTGTAAACCTGACCTGTGTTCGCTTCTGCTTCATTTTTCAATGATCTACACTACCCTATCGTGTGCGACGTCTCCTGTTTGTATTCCACCTTGCTGTAAATCTACTTGGTATAATATACTATCCGAGTGTCATTGCATTTTTGATACAATCTTTTTGGAATAGAGTAGAGTACAGGAGTTGGGACAAAGCCGAACAGAGAGGAGTGGACTAGTAGGCAAGGGGTAGAAAGTCAGAAAACAGTGCCCTTTTTCATCCCCGTGTTAACTCCGTCCTCAGTTCTTTTTCTATATACTGTACCCAGAAAAAGTACAATACGGGTGCTCCTGGGAGATGTTTTTCATGCAAAACATGAGCCCAAAACATCACCAAAACCCAGGTTTTCAGCTATTTTTAGATCAATTTTGTGAGGACCTGGCCTATCACAGTTTAGAGGGGGTACATTGTGTTTTACAGTGCTTTTTGGCTAAAACATCACCAAAAACCTAGGTTTTCAGATATTTTTAGATCACTTTTGTGAGGACCGGGCCTATAACAGTTTTGAGGGAGTACTACAAAACCAAAACACAAAAAACAAAAACACAAAGAACATAAAACCCAAAAAACAATGTTTGACACAAAATCGGGGTATTATAGGAGTTGGATTTTTTTGGCTTCTGGTTGTTGCATCCATTTTGTCTCAAACAATGTGTTTTTTGTTTTTATGTTTGTTTTGTTATTGTTTTTGTTGTTTTTTTGTTTTCTGACACGGTTGCATAGACTTCAGGTTTTGTACAACGGCTTTTGCCGAGTACTGGCGCCACTGTGCTTCCGACAGTGCCACTAAACGCAAGTCCTGCGTTGAAATTTCTCTATAGAAACCTTATTTTAAAGCCATTGAAATTTGATCAAACCGAGTCTGGAAAGGCTACCCCTCATGAAGCCACCATACCCTAAATAAAGTGCACCCTAAATAAATCAAAACATTTTTGTTGCCTGTTCCAAGTATCTAAGTAAAGATTCATTTCATGTCCTTATTAAACTCCTTTCTTAGAATTTCCTTTCTGCTCTAATTAAAGATACATTTCATTTCCTTGTTTCGCTCTTGTTTTAGAAGTTTTTTTCATCTCAATTCCAGGAACCTATTCTAAGTAAAGATTCATTTCATTTACTTCTTAAACTCGTTTCTTAGAATCTGGAATGAACTTTATTCAAGGTCAAAGTGAGGGGGGGCCTCTGTTTATTAACAATACGGGTGCTCCTGGAAGATGTTGTTTGCAAACAGCTACTAATTGTTGTAATTGACATTGCACATCGAGACTGGGCACAAAAAGGTTGAAAAATATGCGTTTCGCCTAGGTCCCAAAGCAGTTTTGAAATTTTGCACGGTATTAACATTGTTTTCTAAAGGTTTTGAGCTAGTGTGTGCTCTCTCAAGCACACCCGCTCTCCAAAAGAACAGGTACGCGTCCTAAGAAAACAGCGCCCTTTTCCCTCTTACTTTCCTGCCCTCTACCAATGTACCACCCTCCACTTTGGACTGCCAACTTCTTCCTTAGCATTTCATGCTTCGTATATACTCTTTACTACAAAGCTTGACACTATACACAAGGGTGAAGTAGGTAGGTAGAGCTGGCGTCAAGAAGACAGTGCGGAAAAGAGGTCGTTGTACTATACGCAAAGGTCCCCTACCCCATATATACTTTTTAAAATCAGCGCGCCCTGATAGTTTTTCTTACCAGGTGCCCTTGGAACATTTGTCTACAAACCCTGACACGGACACTTTACTTGTTCTATTCCTACATATAGGTACTTCGGTGTGACTTTGTACTTTGTACTACTTCACTTGATGATCTCGATGCATTTTGTGCAATTGGGGCTTTGCAAAATTTGTATCCAGCACAAAGCTGCAAACAGGACCAGACTAGCTTCGCACCTATCCATTCAAAACTGTACATTTTGCCTGACGCCTGCATCAGCACACCTGTTCAATAAAAACAAGATTATTTACAAGTGTTTGTTTCTGTTCACACTATCACATGCAATATACATTTACGTATGTGTGCATCACCAACAAGTAATTAGCCTAGCATTACCTTTTCTTCTATGCTGCAGACAGTTATGTTGTACATTGTACTTCGCGTGAACGATGTTTCTGATGGCAAAGTGGTAATGGATGGTGATGGAGTCAAGTCTGTCAAATAGTTGAGGGTGAAGGCTAACATCGGCCTGTGACAAGTGAACATAAAGCTTAATAGAGAAGGCCATTTACACGAACATACTAAGCATACAAAGGCTGCGATACTTTTTCTGGTCAGGCGACAGCAAGTCCAACAAGGACGGCATGGAATGCAGAAGCTCCATTCAGTACACATGTTTCTTCAATTCAGGATTCGCCCCGCGGTGCTGAGAATGCATCCAGGAATCCAGACTGCCTACACAGATAGTATGACAATCCGGTAGATATTGTAGATTTTGATCCTGGCAGCTTGATGTCTTTACTGAAGGAGCAAAAGCGGAGCCGCCAGTGGTGCGAGCTGCAGCCTCGACTTCCATCAGTTTTTGTTCAACCTTGACAAGGAACCTATTCATCTCCAAGTGACTCTTGAAGCATGAACATGTCATGTTTGTGATATGTCTTGGCAACATTTGCTGAGGAGATGGCCCAAGCACCGACCCTCGCGCCACTCTGTCACGATAGATTGTCAATTGAATTTACACCGATCCGTACCGAAATCATATTGCAATACAGTATATTTCAGGTTGCGGCCGATACAGCAGCAGCTCCGGAGGTTGGGTGCCGCTTTGTGATGTTCATGTGACGCAGTTGGAAGGTGCAAGCCGCCTTCGAACATACTAGGCTAAATACATTTGCAGTAGCAAGGGGTAATGACTTGCAAGACATTTTAAAGGCCTGTCTACAGGTACAGGTTCTTGCTACATTGAAGTTTGATTGATCAACCACTCGCCAGGCCGGAGACCTTATCGCGAAGGTGGACCATGAATTGGACCAGTCTCAATGCAAGGCTTGTTGCCTTAGTTGCCTATGGTTCGTGGTGCATGTAATGTGTTCTTCGGTAGCATGGGATTGCTTGGGTGAGTTCATTTTTTGAGAAGCCTTTCCATCGTGTTTGTTCAGATGGTTTGACCCGGGCGGTAAAGTGGAGCAGAAAGAAACGGAATGAACGATGAAGTCAAACGAAATGAACGGAAAAAGTCCAGAAACAATGAAACGCAACTCCGACTCCGTCTCATGGGAAGATTGGAGAACACCTCTTCAAGAAGGGTCTTGGGCACATGGTTCCGAGGACTTGGAGACTCGGCGACGCATCTTCAAGGCTGCCTAGTCAACGAAAAGACAAAAAGTAGATAAACAAACTGCTGCTAGTAGAGATGCCAAGAGCCCCTAGTAGCGTCCTTTGCTGCACCTAGCAGCGATGCCCTTTGCTCCTAGTAGCCTCTTGCTCCTGGTTGATCATTGTGAGACTACCTGATTGCCAGAATCTCATCCTGAAGTGGCACCCGGACAAAAATCAGGAAGAGGTGCTCGCCACAGAGGCACATCATTGTCTCACGTTTGACGTTTTTGTTGGCTTTCACAAGTTGCGCTTTTTTCCGCATCACCTCTCTGTGAATCCCTCTCTTGATTGTGGAGATTGTGAGGTTTTTCGCCATCTTATGGCACGACGCGGGAGATACTTAGAGGCCGTGCCATGGTATTGTGATTGTGCACATTCGTCCACTATTGTATGCGGTGGATTTGTTTTGGGGGAACACTTGCTACTTGCTGAACCTTGCCAATGCCACCATCCAGTTTCTCCAAACTGCAGCAAGCTGCAATCAAGCTACAGATTCTATAGTTGTGTTTGACAATGGGCTCGGAGGAAAGTAGTTTGTTTTGCAGGCATGAGAAGATGCAGCGCGAGGTAGTATCCGGCTGTACGATTCGCATGTTTGAAGCAAATGTCCTTCAGAGTCTGTGGAAAAAACACGCTCTGATGACACTGTATATAGTGGCCAGCCCTGAGCTCCTAACACGGTGCAGCTTGCAGTGGCGTGCGCATCAAACTTGAGACCAGATGTGTAAGCATGATGGTCTTATTCATTGTCTCCAGTTAAAGAAACATACTTTGCTAAGATCATCAACGGAGAGTAAAGAATTTGTATATAAATACATGTATTGAGTTGCATTGTTATGCTATGTCATGCTATTTGCAGAGCATTTTGTTCAGTCATCGGAGCGGCTGTTATTGAAGGGACTCATCTTGAACCTGTAAAGTCGAACGATGGTGCTAGGATCCAGTATGTGTTTGAAATGGGTACAGGACAGAGAGTGTTTGTGGACCAAACTCCCATCAAGGCATTGTGCTTCGCCCAATGATTGACCATGACCGTACGATAGTTCTGTGCCGCAGCTCATTTGCCATATTCATTTTTCCCTTCTGGACCAACTGCACGCACGCAGTTCGCTGCGCAAGTGGAGTTGAGGACTTGCGAGTGTTGGAATAGTCTTTGCAGTGTTAGCACTTTGTTTTAAGCTCACAAACACGTTTCCACTCCTAGTGTTTGTGGCATCCTTTCAAAGGATGTGTTATGGCGTTTACGAAGTGCAACTGACGGTTTGCATTTGCCAAATTGAGGACTTTGGCAACTCTATGGCCGATGGAGATCTCTCACCGCAGGCAAGCACAGCAACAAAGCAGTCATGCATTGATTTGACTTTCATGGCAGGCCCCAGATGATGGGGATGCCGCTTTCCAGGGACCGGGATTCAAGAAACTGGTTCACAGCTCAGGCAACCTAGTTGAGATTGAAATTGGCTTTTGATTTTGGATTTGGAGGATTTGAGTAAAAGCAAGGTGACGGTCAGCAACTTGGGGATCCAAGGATCAACTGAGCCGCCAAGGGTCTCTCAGTCTATTCAGAGACATTGATATGGCCTGTCGCCAAGTGTATTCACGGCAGTTGCAAGGATGACCTGATTCGAAGTAATTACATAGTACTACTGGCACGAACCGATAGGACGACTTGGTGAAGGATTATCAGGAGGAGCAGCTGCTTGCAGAGCCCAAGTGCCCAAGCTAAGATACAGGCTTTTTTGTCCCATGCATCTGAACTCGCAAAGCTTTGTTTCCACATTGTGATAGTGATTCTTCATACTGTAAATATGTGTCCATTGTTTCTTAGCTCTTAGCAGCTTGGCAGCTGAGCCAGAGGTACACCAGTAATCACTTGGACGTCCCTGTGGTGATCGTGACAAGCGAAATTAGCCCATGGCACCCTTGCTGCAACAAAACCTATCTATATATAATTTTATATATTCAGCATCAAGCTTCTTGACTCGACTCACGCTCCCAATATTTGATTCCAGTTTGACACAGCTAGACTCAGGTCGAAGTCAGGTGGACTTGCACTTGTCACGGCCTCGTTGGCTTGGTACTAAGATTTGACCTTTGAAATGTTGAATGTCATAGATGTTCTACATTTTACAATTTTTCACAATACTTTACCATCTTTACCATTGCATGAGATTCATAGTGCCACAAGACGCCATCAGAAATCTTATTTTTCAGGCTCTAGAGCTGGCCGGGAGAGGTCATCGAACCATGGCAATCAGTCCAATGTGCCCGAGGGTTGCAAATTTCTGGTGATTGACCAGGCAGCGTTCCAGTTTTTTTAATCGCCGATTGCAAGGTATGATGATTTTCCAAATTGCAGCTATTTGGCCTCCAAGAAGCTGTGTCCTGAGAAGGTCCTCAAGCATGGCTTGTGTCCGAAGATCTCGAAGGTTCTAACATGTTCTAACCCTTTTTGAGGGGAGTACATGACTTTGACTTTTTTGTATATACATGTTCTCGATGAGATGGTCATAGACATCTGCAAGAGAGACGATACTGTCACACAGATGCTAAAGCTGAATCCCGATCCCGCTCGATGTTCCGAGGATTTGGTTATTTGGATGGGAACATGAAGTAAAGTGCGGGCCTTGGCACTTGTAATGATTGGTTTGTCGGCAGACTCGAACAAGTGCATAGTATGGTGGTAATGACAGCATTTAATAGAAGTACAGCTTGTTATTTTGCATGAATCCTGCAAGAGGTATTTCCATTTGTGGCAGCCATTGGAATCCGAAGGCACGAAAGGACCACGTTTTGTCATGCCCTTGATTTGGCGACACAATCAGGTGGTGTGACTTCTTGAGATGAAGTGAGCAAAGCTTTGTTGAGCCCCTATCCCCAACAAAGAAGTGGCATCAAGGAACATATTGACAGTCACAAAAACAACTAAGAGTCTTTGTTTTTCTGGTATGGAAAGTCAGCAACAGAAATGGAAGTGCCCAACCACTGAGGTTTGCACCAAAACTATGCAAAATTGGATGTCTTCCAGGGGTGAACTTTTAAGGTCCATGTTGGGGTGGGAGGAATTCATCCAACACGAAGCCTTTGGTCTTTGGTGTATTTGGTTGGATTCGGATTTGTCCCACAAACAACCACCTTTGGTTCCCTTCATCAGGCATAGATCCTGTGAGTATCGGTGAGTGATGTCCGCTTTTGTAAACGCATGTCTTACAATTTCTGCATATGACTGCGCATCGTGCTGGCCTGAACACCAGCTGAACATGCACCCAAACCTGTACAGAATGGCATACCTTGTTTTTGTTCACCTATCATGGCTTTGGTGCGCTTGTCTGTGGAACGCAGTTAATTCATGTCAATCTATGTATACCAAGCCAACGACTTTTTGTTCTGGTCACGATGAGCGGCTTGCAAGTTACTCGTGATGTTGACCAGGAGTCGACTACATATTTGTTGATCACCCATGCTATCATCGACCTGGCGGCTGCCACCTCAGCAAGTTAAAGTTTGCAGCCGTGAGATGCCGTGAGAATCTCCCAAGACAGCACTGCCAAGGCCTCTACTACAATGCACAAGAGGGTGTTGAGCCACTTTGTGAGCAGATCTCTGTCTCTCTCTCTCTCTCTCTAGAAACATTTGGAAACACTCGCCAGCATGAACTGCACGAACTGAAACACCGCGAAACGATATGACACATGATTCTTTTGTTTTTGAGTCTTTGCGTCGCCAAAGAAGCATCTGAGATATTCAGACAACCTGTTCCGGTTCGCATTGTTCACCCTCGCAGCGTTGGAGGCGTGGAGCCACACTAGGACCTTGACTTGATCCTGTGGCATACAAGTCCGTGTTCTTTTTTTCAAGAAATGGTTGAATTGTTTGTGGCCAAGAACCTGATTTCTGATCTGAGAAAAGCAGCCTCTTATCAAGGGACTTACTACAGTAACTCAGGAACTTCCAAGTTGCGGCAAAGAAGTATCTTTTGTTTTGTTTTGTGCGAATAGAACACGAATGGATAGGCAATGCGAGGGAATTTGGGGGATCGAAAAAATTAGAGGTGTGCGCGAAAGGGTGTGTTTCCGCAGGGAATGTGCATATCCTGGAGCTACAAAACTAGCTGCTTATCGCACTGCGCTCCGGACGATCCTCTCTGCTGTTGCAGTTTGTCAAAGGCGTTTGATCCCCGTTGCTTGTGCACTGGGGTTTATATAAAGTTAACGGAATGAACTCCTGTCTTTAGCGCCCGGTCAGCGCCGATGTGTCTTTCACGCACCGCGATGCCGCAGAATCCTGCCAAGTGTGCATGCGACTGTCATGTATTACATTGGACATCTCTTCCGAAAAAGACCTGTGCACAACTCAATTACTAAAATGATCTAATATAAATAACAATGCAACCTTGGCCCATAGGATTGTAATCACACGGGTTCAAACCGCTCTCTTTTCTTTTGATCAACGAAAGGGCTTCAAAGTGTATATGGTCGTGTTATGACCTTCAAGACAACTTCATATGTGTGCTCAACTTCTGCTCTCCCCTCCCAGTCTCTGCTGGGATCATGGAAGTGAGCACGTAGCAATCAAAAGACTCAAGCCCTTATGAACCGCTGGCTCTGGGACAAGCGGAATGCACAAAGGAAAGGGCCTAGCATTCCCCATTTGAATGCCTTCGAAGAAAGAACGGCCTGCTCTAAGCACAAACCCTAACTCAGGCACTCACCCTCTAGGATCGCCACCTCGAGTCACATTCCACTCGCCGTGGAGGAAGACAACGAGAAAAACAAGCTCATGCCCTGCCAGTTCGACTTGAGGTAGCACATCGACCGATTTCCTCGTCGATTGTCCACCCTCACGAACTTCTGACCATCCTCCTGCCAGCCCACCGTGACCACATCTGCAGTGATGCCATCAGCAGAAGGCGGAGCAGCTACCTCCGTATCGAAAAGCTTCTTGCGCCAACTCTCATGCCGAACGACGGTGATCTCTAGGATGCCCTGCGAGATTTCATGATGAACTGTCGAACGAGAGCCACGACTCAAAGGTCGATCCAACTCCTCAATGAGATTCGCAGGCCACATCCATTGAAAGTCCCTCAGCTCTTGTTCCCTCAGCTCAGCCGGTGAATGAACTGGGGCAAGGACTCATCCAGGCGAGCAAAATGAACACCCTCAAAGAAAATGTGAGGCCCTGCTGGTTGGAGCCTTCTCGCACCTTCCTCTTCAACAGATGGGCAACCCCCTGATCCAGCAGACAAACGCCTCACAGCCCCTTCAGAGCTTCTTCCGCTCTCTTCAATCCTGGTAGAAGACAAAGTCGACGGGATAGCCACCCCAGTGCTGCCAAAGCCCGATTCCCCCCTGGTAGTAGAGGACAGAGAGGATGAAGCGACAACCCGAGCATCCTGAATCTTCTCCAAAGTGAGTTGACCTACCCGATCTCCAGGGTGAATTGAAAGGGTTCATCACTGTTGTTAACCAGGATGACCTTGATCTCGCCCCTGTAGTCGGCGTCAATCACGCCCCTCCACCATGATGTCCACCACCACTGGAAGGATCACCGGAATGACTTCCCGCTGGATTGCCACCCTGCTCATTGGACCCTTGATCCCCTGAAGCCAAAGGATCCCCACGATCTTGAGGCTGACAACTATGATCTTGTCCCGCACGTCGAACCCCACCGCGCGTGCCACCCTGGAAACTCCCGACCTCAAAGTCCTTCCCAGCAGCACCCATCCAGGGTTGAGGCTCAGCAGATCGCAACCCATGGCCACCCATCAGAGCCTTTGATGACTCCAGCACGCCCGGCAAC